ATGCACGCTCAGCATGTCGTCTGTGTATTCCACCAGGAGGACAATATACTCTCGCCGTAAATGCTCCACGTTAATGTTTAATTCACCGGATGGTTCGCTGTGAGGAAATTGGTTTATGAGGAATGAAGTGTAGAGAAGTAGTATTGTTTGAGTGTGTGTGTAAGATGCGATTTGCATGGTTATAATTAGGCATTTCTGATCGTTGTATATGTATGTGTTCTCCGTGTGTGGCGGTTAGCATAATTGTGTATATATACAAGCCTATTTTACTTCTCTATACTATCGTTTCAATAAAAACAACAACATTAATGAAATTACCTGGAATGGTCTTTGGCATCAACAAAATCTGCATGATTTTTCATGATCTCCCACGCACTTTTTCCCCGACAAAGGTTATTGTGGCGAGACTCAGTGAATACATGATTCTCCGAGTCACAGAACAGGTTGATGTTTTTCCATTCATCCTGAAGTATAAGATGAGCGTTGAAATGCACAGAAATTAAGAATCACGGAGAATTTCTTTGGTTACGGACAAATCGGAATCAAGGAAGAAAGAGAGAGAGAGAGAGAGAGAGAGAGAGAGAGAGAGAGAGAGAGAGAGAGAGAGAGAGAGAGAGAGAGAGAGAGAGAGAGAGAGAGAGCGAGAGAGAGAGAGAGAGAGAGAGAGAGAGAGAGAGAGAGAGAGAGAGAGAGAGAGAGAGAGAGAGGGAGAGAGAGAGAGAGAGAGAGAGAGAGAGAGAGAGAGAGAGAGAGAGAGAGAGAGAGAGAGAGAGAGAGAGAGAGAGAGAGAAAGCAGACAGATTGGGAAACAGAGATAGGGAGGGAGGAGAGGAAAGAGAGAGAGAGAGAGAGAGAGAGAGAGAGAGAGAGAGAGAGAGAGAGAGAGAGAGAGAGAGAGAGAGAGAGAGAGAGAGAGAGAGAGAGAGAGAGAGAGAAAGCAGACAGTTTGGGAAACAGAGAGAGGGAGGGAGGAGAGGAGAGAGAGAGAGAGAGAGAGAGAGAGAGAGAGAGAGAGAGAGAGAGAGAGAGAGAGAGAGAGAGAGAGAGAGAGAGAGAGAGAGAGAGAGAAAGCAGACAGTTTGGGAAACAGAGAGAGGGAGGGAGGAGAGGAGAGAGAGAGAGAGAGAGAGAGAGAGAGAGAGAGAGAGAGAGAGAGAGAGAGAGAGAGAGAGAGAGAGAGAGAGAGAGAGAGAGAGAGAGAGAGAGAGGAGAGAGAGAGAGAGAGAGAGAGAGAGAGAGAGAGAGAGAGAGAGAGAGAGAGAGAGAGAGAGAGAACTCGGAGATAAAGAACTAAGTAAATGAAAATACAAGCCAGCTAGCCTTACGTCCCCGTGGTTGTCCGCCAGAGATAGAAGAGAAGACGTTGATGTTAGCCAGTTCCCGTTGTCCAGGCATAGATTATTCTCCTCCTTTCCTGCTTCTGAGCCTTCTCTTCTGAAAGGGTAGAGAGGGTCGGCCTTATACCCGTGCTCCTCGAAGACGCCCCAGCGGTACTTCGCCCACTCCTGCGCGAGCTTCTTTCCTACAAGAGAAAAGACGAGGTTTTAGAGACTGGGCCCAGGACGGATAGATGGTTACTGGAATAGATAAACAATTTCGTTGTCGGAAGAGTCATTTCTATAATATTATACTGCAATCAACCCTCCAGCACACAAGGAAAATGTGCCTACAAGAAGATAAAATGAAAACCTCAACTCGGATCACAGATAATATAACCCACTTTTACCTCTTCGGGAATCGGAGCTGGCGTTCAGGAAGGTTCTATCCAGGAAGATGAAATCCCCGGGATGGCCGCAAGGCAGGCGGTGCTGAGTCCACGCCCGCGCCGCGATAACCGGGTGCTCGTCGGCCACCACCAGATGAGGGCCCTTGGCTCTCGCCAGGTACACGTTCTCGACTGTGTAGATTCTTGTTAAATAGATGAATTGAATGAAAGATAATAACTCAAAATGTGATAGATAAGTTACAGAGATTGGTGTGTTTTGTTCTTTTGGGATTGTCAGATTTTTTTTAAAATGTGCTCTGGAGATATATATCGTAGAAGAAAAGATGGTGAGAATGAGACGTAGGGCTCGGAGTGAGGTGATGAACACTTGTGATAATTTAGGTCAGTCGAGAAACGGCGAGAGTGAAGCTGTGTTTAATCATAATGAAATGTCACTCACTGTGAAATCGTCGGTGGAATTTCCCAGTGTTCGGGAAAAAGGACTGTCATATTTCGAAACTCAATCCGGTCATCGGTCGCTTCGGCAAGAGCGACTGAAGCTTCCTTTACCACACTCTGAAACGAGAGAGGAAAGAAGAGAGCAAGTATGAGTGTGCCTATTTTGCTTTTATTTTTACCGTTGTGTGCATAATCACGGTTGCACTTCCATCAGAAAGAAAGTGTTCATAAAATCTAAGCTAACAAAAGGGGTACTCAAGGATATCTCGATTTTTCATCTTATGGCAGCTTCTCTGGCTCTCACCGACAGAGGACTCAGATTCTAGCTCGCGGCCCTTGGAGGTCTCAGAGTGTCCTAGGGAGTCTTCTTTATCATCTTGCAAATGAAATTGGGGGATGCAATTATTCTAGATGAAATAAAAGAGGAGACAAATCAGAACGCACATGGATTTGTAACTTTCACTACCGAAAAAAGGAACCTGATTCTTAGTGTCAGTCTTAAGAAAGTTTGCGTCGTATTAGCGTAAGATTAAGGGGGAAATTACGAACGAATATTTTAAGCTCAGCTTAAGGAATGAGAAATAGATCATTGTCATTAGGGAAAGGGGGAATTAGTTTCAAAATTGTTCAAGAAACTAAGACAGAGGACCGGCAGAGGACCAGACGCTATAAGGTAGTGCCGAATATTGAACAGAGCTTATCGACATTACCGACTCTGAATTCCTCAGAGAGCACGAGCAGCACTGATTTACAGCGCTATTGAACACCACTTGCATTAATAAAATTAATGAATATAAAATCCCCAGAGACCTGTGGCGTTAAGCCTGTTGACCCAGTTATTCTGGGTGCATTATTAGACTTATGATTAGATGTGTTCTAACAATATCATTTACATATGTATATACTTAGAATTTTATTGCTTTGTAATCCAAATGCCTTTATTTTTTATAATATTGCCGTTGAACTGTCTCACTTATAAAAAATATTAATGTGACCTGATACCCAATTAACTAAAAGGTTTTAAAATCCGAAATAAGTTCTATGTGTATGCATGTAGTGACTTTTACCCAAGAATCCTTATTATTCATACCTACTGTAGGATGTTTTAGTATTGGAGTAGTAATTCCTTATCCATCTATAATTTATATCTGTATATTAGTATTGTTTATATAACTTTGTTAAATCACGTTCCATTTTCTAAACTGGACATGCTGATTTTTTATGGGCACCAGACAAAATCCTAGACTGTAACGTGCCATAGCAAAAGGGGGCCTGGCCGAGATTGAAATGAATACTAGAAATTAATAAGTGTCAGTTCTTGCAACTAGTGTCAGCATTATTGTTTATGCTAAAGCATTACAGTAACTGATATTTAGCGTATGAAATTGAACAACGTATTTATTTAAATATTCTTGCACGTTTCTGGGTAAAAGTCCGTTGATTAAATATTCACTTACTATTAAATTCATAAGAAATTCAGAAACATTTTCCGCCGGGGCTCCACCAACGGCTACGACAAGGCTGTTGTATATATCGTCTTGCAGCGAAAGGCTTTCCATGTTTGCGCCCTCAAGCTCTGCCATTGCACTTGGATCAGCTTTCAGGCCCACCGCCGTCGCCGCCATCATCAGCACACCAATAAGGCAAAATTCGCGTGCCATTTCTCTGAAAAAACTCGAACCCGTTTTCTTATTCGTAAATTTACAAATAAAGTAAGCCTGAGCACATCACACCACGTTATGGTTGCGACTAACCTCGCTATTGTGTTATCTAGTCGTTCTGTCAATTAAGATTAAATTCCTGATAACGCAATATCGTATGCTCTTCTTTTTCAGAAAAAAAGTCAAGTGCGGTGTAGGTTGATATCTCAGTGGAAGATGTTCAAATTTAGGCTTTACATCGGCTTTAAAATGTGCGCACTCAAAAAAATAATTTGCACGTTTGTATGCGGGCGTGACTCGCGGATCTAAAGGAGCGTAGGTGCTCTTCTGTAAAAGCTGCCCCTTAAAGGTTTTAGTTCCTAAAATTGTGATTACAAAGCGGAACTTTTCTACAATATGTTTAAGACTCTATACAAACAATGAATCTAAAAAATTGTCACAAACAAAATTGAAAAGGTAAAAGTTTATCTAATATTAGAAACTTCCACATTCCTCCATTCTCTCATTTGCCTGCCCTTCACACCTTTTGTAAACTTTTTCCAAATCCGTCGCTAAGAGAAGAGAAACAGATAGCGAAAAAATGAATACAAATGAAAGGGAGATAGGGAGCGGCTAATCACCGTAATGCGAGCAGCAAACACAGCCTTGCCGCCCTCCTTTAAGATGCGTGTAACATTACGCCTTCAGACAACACGGCAGACAAGGCCGTGTGCTCTGCCCTAGCTGGCACTGCTGAGTCACGTGCCACGAGGTCACAGCATCATTAATTCACACGTCACCAAAGGATTACCACCTTGACCGCTACGTTTCAGCCCGGGTCATCTTACGCCTTGGGTCAGACGGACTAAGTGAAGTGAAAGGGCTCGACGGGAAAAGGAGAACGCTAGAAAAGAAGGATGAAGAGAATTTCTGTAAGCAACTTTGTTACGTGACATCAAACGTTAGGATTTTTATTTACCTCTGCTCGCGTTGGCTGGCTTAGTCACAGTCACTCTCTCACTTTTAATCCCTCTATTCATCTCCCTTCTCTATTCGTCCCCATTCTCTCTCTCTGCCTCTCTCTCTCTCTCTCTCTCTCTCTCTCTCTCTCTCTCTCTCTCTCTCTCTCTCTCTCTCTCTCTCTCTCTCTCTCTCTCTCTCTCTCTCTCTCTCTCTCTCTCTCTCTCTCTCTCTCT